AGAGAGAGAGAGAGAGAGAGAGAGAGAGAGAGAGAGAGAGAGAGAGAGAGAGACTTGTTGGGGAAACAAGTGCGTGGAGGTAATGAATATAACGGAAAGGCAGGGCCAATGGGAGGGGATTACAAGAATACAACGGGTGATTAGTACGTTAAGTTGTAAATTTAAGGTCCTTAAATTATGGCTCGTCGATGTTAAAGCCTGTCAGAATTTTGTGAGACTTCAAGTTCCAAATCCTTGATTCTCTTTGGTTGAGTTTGTCTTTAGTTGGATATTGGACTATTTCAATACCCTGAAGCTGCTAATCGGAGGCTCCATTGTGACCAGGACTGTTGAAATGTTGGCCGACTGGTGCACACGAGTTTTTACTGGACTGAATACCTATGGTTATTAAACCTAGCTCTTAGTGTGGTGGTAGTTTGACCTACATATTGAGTTGGACAGACTTTACAAGATATGAGGTAGATTACATTCTTGGTTTCACAAGTGATGCTGTGGGAAATTTTCCTTCTAATGTGGGGGCCTTCTACAAAGTTGGTCACTTTCATGTGAGCACATGGTTTGCATCTAGGCTTTTTGACAAGGATAATTTTGAGGCTGGCAACATGGGTTTATTGGAGGTGAGGACTTGGGTGTTACTGCTCTAGTACGAATGAGTAGTTTGTCGAAGTGCAATCAGAGGGGGATGGGGGAAACAGGCTTTCATTTTGTCTGATTTTTCCAAGATGCTTTTGTGTTGGCTGTGGATTTTATGTACAGTAGGTAGTTTTTGGTGATGAGTTGCGATGAAAAATGGTCTTTTCTGTTTGGGCTTAAGGGGTTTGTAGGTCAGAAGGGTTAAGCGGTTCAGTTTGCTGACTTTCTCGATAATGGGCATTATAAAATGTTTGCGGTACCTCCTGTGAAGAATGTTGGTTGTGACTTCCTCTATCCGTTGTTTAAAAGAATTTTCACGGGAACAAATGCGGCGGAGTCTAAGTGCACCACTATAGACCACAGACCGAAATATATGTTTGGGATGGTTCGAAGGAGGTAACGATTGGAGTCGGTAGGTTTTTTTTATACAGGTCTGTGTCAATTTGGTTATCTGAAATGAGAAGGGACATGTCCAGGAAAGAAGTGGACTTATCTGGGCTGGAATAAGTAAATTTGATGTAGTGGTGCGCCTTGTTCAGATCAGTGAGAGATTTTTGGGTTGTTTCAGAGCAACCATTGTGCAAGGCGATAATGTCATCCACGTAACGCATAAGTACAAATGGTTGATTGGTAAGAGGGGAGACGTATTTGTGCCAAAATTCAGCATTAAAAATGTTGGCATAAGAGGGGGCCACTGGAGTACCCATCGCTGAGCCGGTTGGCTCGAATTTGATTGTTGAATGAACAATTATTGAGGGTGAGGACTAGTTTCAACAGTTTGCAATTTTGCAAAGTTTGACGTGTGTTATAGGGTCCAAGGCTTCTGAGGGCTGAGCGGCAGGCCTCAATACCTTCTTGGTGTGATATTTTGTTGTACATGTTGACAACGTCTTTGGCCAGAAAGTTAGTTTCAGGAGTGAGCATGTTTTCAGAATTAAAAGTTTCTTTTTTTT